TACCTCGTGTTCGCCATGCAGCTCGGCTTCGCTATGCTTTGCGCCGGCTCCGTGCGCGCCAAGAACACCATGAACATCATGCTCACCAACGTGCTCGACGCCGCGGCCGGCGGTCTCTTCTACTACCTCTTCGGGTTCGCCTTCGCCTTCGGCGGCCCCTCGAACGGCTTCATCGGGAAGCACTTCTTCGGCCTCAAGGAGGTGCCGCAGCCCAGCTTCGACTACTCCAACTTCCTCTACCAATGGGCCTTCGCCATCGCAGCCGCCGGTATCACCTCCGGCTCCATCGCCGAGCGCACCCAGTTCGTGGCCTACCTCATTTACTCCTCCTTCCTCACCGGCTTCGTCTACCCCGTCGTCTCCCACTGGTATTGATCTTTACGATCTCATCTTCGTCATGTTTGGTTGATCCTCTGTTTTGGCTGATGATCATGTGGTGATGGCTGATAGGTTCTGGTCGGGCGACGGGTGGGCTGCCGCGGCGAGGAACGCCGGGGAGTCGCTGTTGTTCGAGTCCGGAGTGATCGACTTTGCGGGGTCGGGCGTGGTGCACATGGTGGGAGGCATCGCGGGGCTGTGGGGCGCCATCATCGAGGGCCCCCGCATCGGGCGCTTCGACCACGCCGGCCGCTCCGTGAACCTCCGCGGTCACTCTGCCACCCTGGTGGTGCTCGGCACCTTCCTCCTCTGGTTCGGCTGGTACGGCTTCAACCCAGGCTCCTTCAACATCATCTTCCGGACCTACGGCCCCAGCGGCTCCATCCACGGCCAGTGGTCCGCCGTTGGCCGCACCGCCGTCACCACCACCCTCGCCGGCTGCACCGCCGCCCTCACCACCCTCTTTGGGAAGCGCCTCCAGACGGGCCACTGGAACGTGCTCGACGTCTGCAACGGCCTCCTCGGCGGCTTCGCGGCCATCACATCTGGCTGCTCCGTGGTCGACCCGTGGGCCGCCATCGTCTGCGGCTTCGTCTCCGCCTGGGTTCTCATCGGCCTTAACAAACTCGCCGCCAAGTTCAAGTTCGATGATCCCCTCGAGGCCGCGCAGCTGCACGGCGGCTGCGGCGCGTGGGGGATCATCTTCACTGCGCTCTTCGCTCGGGAAAAGTACGTGAACGAGGTGTACCCGGGGCGGCCGGGGCGGCCCTACGGGCTATTCATGGGCGGGGGCGGGCGGCTGTTGGGCGCCCACATCGTACAGATCCTGGTGATCACCGGGTGGGTGAGTTGCACCATGGGCCCGTTGTTCTTCGCGCTGCACAAGCTCAACCTGCTCAGGATCTCCGCCGAGGACGAGTTGGCCGGGATGGACCTCACCCGGCACGGCGGCTTCGCCTACGACTACCACGACGAGGACCCCAGCGCACACGGCGGCAGCCCCAGAGGCGGGTTCATGCTCAAGTCCTCGCCGACGCCGGTGAAGCCGAAGGCCAACCAGACGGCCACCGCCAACCAGGTGTAACTCTCCAAGATGGACGTGTTTTCTCTTCTCTGTCCCTGCTAAGAACAGGGTGATGTGTACAGGATGATTGGTTTCTGTGGTGACCGGTGAATCTAGTAGTACCAGTGTCTTGGATTAGGTTACGTGTCTCTGTCTTCTCCCCCGTCTTGCATTGTAATGGTGTTGGGTTCATGATGTTACCAGCAATCGAACTTCTTTTACCTTTTTCGTATGGGTTGGTGGGTGGTGGTGGTGGAGACTTCTTTTAAGGATCTGAGTGAATCCCGTGGAAATGGTTCTTGTTCTTTGCTGAAGAAAGGTGCGGCCAAGAATCAAGTGATGGAGGTGATTCCTCCTAAATGAACAGACCAGCAAAAGCAAGAAAGGGGTAGGAAGACGAGGCGGCAGAGTAGTATCACTAGTGGAGGTTTATTAACGTGATATGCCTCCTTGCGGTACCAATAATGTGGGAACGACTCTCGGATGGCATTGGAGGTCAGCTAACGAGACAACGAAGAAGGCGCAGCACCGACTGGTGGTCCCGTGGCCACCGAGCTCAGTCAACCATGGAAGGCGTCGAGATCCGGGACAAGCCTGCAGAAATTGCAGTCTCCCATCCTCCATCCTCCTCACCTCGCGACACCATCTGCTGTCGAAGTCCGGTGGCGAGAGAACCGGAGAAGAATCTGATTCTGAGATCAAAGACATGATGTTGATGCTCGTGAAGCGGATTGACTTTGAACCGTACGATCCATGGACGCTTCTGAAGTCTGTCTATTTGTTCTTCCCCTGCAGTCCAATGCCTGTCGACAGGAAAGAGGACGAAGCCTCGACTGAAACCGGAGAAAGTAGGGAAATCTTTGATTATAATGACAGCAAGAGCATTACGGGATGTAGTAAAAGATCCTAAACCATGTCTTAGAATTAACTTTCTTTGGTTTCTATAACTCAGATTATATCTATCAATTATCAAGACTAGAAATCTGCAAAATTAGAACTCGGATCATCGGGTTCTAATATTTATGGCAAAGGACAATTAGTCAACAACATCCACCATGAGAGAGAGAGAAAGAGAGAGAGAGATTCTAATATTTATGACACATGGGTTTGGAAAAGAGGTCATTGACTTGGAAAGAAGCTATGAATGTGAAGGGTCGGCCGCTATGCATTTATTGCCTTCCTGCTTGCGATAGGAGAGATATATATATGCATCAGGAATGGGAGAGAGGTCAAAAAGTGCAGCCTACAAAAATAGCACTTGATGAGTGGACGGCGATCACTTCCTTTCTGAAAGATACTATTAGGGAGAAAAGCTCACACGGAAGGATTCGGGTCCGTACCAAATTGCTCAACTCAAAACAATCACGAAACTTTGATCTGAAACGAACCATAATTGATCCGAATGAAACTAAATTAGCTACTCAAGTTTTGTTGTTAAACACGCCAAGGGATAATTCCATGCACCAATCGTAACCATTAACTAGTCTATCAATTTCGTTTGGTCTAAATCATTAATCAAAATACTTAAATTAAAATTAATAATAATATACTCATAAGATCTTTATAAATCAATCTTAATCTTATTCACTTTCGATATAAGACTAATCAGAACTATTATAACGAGATTTATGAGTCATGTAAGATAAAACCAAATTCGATATATGTGCTGTACTTCTAAAATAAAATAAAATATACAAAAAATGTTATTTGCATGACCAGTTTTTATATCTTTTAAGACAAATAAGCTTCATTTTTTTTATCTTCAAAAACCTTTTTTAAGGTTTATGAGTAAAATCATATAGGCATATCTAAAACAGATAATTCCTTATAATCCTACTGACTTATTAGAATTGATAAAAATATTTAATTTTATATTGATTAAAAAATAAGAAAAAACTAAGAACTTACAAGTCCACTATGTTACTATCTTTTGAAAAAATAAAATTGTGCAGAACATTATATTTCATTTTCCTAAGTTCAAACGCCAAGTTTTATGCAAAACAGAGTACATATTATGCTGATTCAATGACGGAATACACACTTGTGGAACATTCAAGAGAGCATGCTCATTAAGGCTTATTAGAACCTGGGGAAGTTGTTCCTGGCTTGATACAAGAATATTTCTCACCAACTTATACATAATTACCATACTGCACCAGTAGAAGATAAAAGGCAAGCAGTGTAAGGAAGACTTCAACAGATTCAATATATAATGATAACGAAAAGTGAACGAATCAAAAAAGATTCACTGATAGTTTATTACCTTAAAAAAATATATGTTTCTTATCTTCAGTGTTGCGTGTCACAGTGGCTCAGATGCATTCGCGGTGCACTTAGATTCCCGATACCAGACCAGCCAACCACGTATCCAATAAAATACTCCATTGGGACAAGCCGATGTAGCAATCATAATCATGTGCTGTACAAACGTATGGCTGTTAGATTCATGGCATCTTAGAGAGGGCCAGCTTTGAGAGTCGGTGATAACATAAAAATATTATCAACTGGTGAGCAAAGCAACAAGAGATTGCCCGTCGTTTGATAGGTAGAACAGCTAAGACAGACAGAAGAAGAATATTAGGTTTCCTACGATGGTATGATGTGAATAAGAACTTGGTGTGGCGAAACAAAGCAAGTGTTGTAGTAGTGGCAACAAAACGTACACGTACTGAGAAGAAATAAATGGACGACGAGAAGTCAAACTCACAAATGGCTAATGCAAAGGATCTTCTATTAAACAAAAGGACACATTCAAAAGGTTGGTGGAAATGGACATAAAGATAATATGTGTTCTCCCAGGAAAAAGAAATAATACAACCTCTTGCGTGAAGAATAATATTAAGTGGCCTTCACGCCAGTAAATGATAAAGCAGGAGATAACAACAGCAAAATGAAAATGAAGCTTTCTAATGTGCCTTCAATTATTCATTTTAGCTAAATTTCTTCAAAATATAGTATAAAAGAATATATTTGTTCCGTTCACAATTAATTAGCACAAGAATAGAATAGATCGACAGTGAAATGAACTCATTCAGATAAGTTATCATGCCAATAAATTATGTATATGAGATGCATATCTCCTCTTGCCTTTGTGCAATGGTACAACTGGATTCAGGTGATCTTTGCTTGCAAAGATAAAGCTACCAACATTAACCTTTCCTATATTCTGCATTGTGAGAGCCTCATGCACTTATATTATCTTTTACTTAGGTGTATTGATAACAAAGCATCCACAAAGATCGGCATCAACCGTATGAATACCGGAAGTACTTGATATATTACACTCCGAAACCTATGGACACACCATACCTATAACCAATCATGAACGATTAAGTCATATCCTTGCATTTGGGTTGCTACAAGTATTTACCTGGTAGATGGGGGTCCTGCAACCGACGGAGCATGAATACAGTTAAGGATCCATGATTGCTGCCGCTAAATAAATAAATCAGGAAGGCTTATTAGATATGCACATAAAATTTCACAGATAAACTTACCTGCACGATCCACAGCCACCTTTTACTTGAAAGCCCATGAAACCGCATGCTAACTTGGATACTGGAGACTTATGTATCATTGCTCAAACATGAATAGTTCATCTCAACCTCAAATAACTCAAGTAGATCTATGGATGTTGTTCCATAGCAATTGAAAAGACAGATAAACTCAATCCCTGTTGAACTATAGAGGGGCATAATTGCCTCCACTATGACCAAACTGAAACTGAAAGGAGCCAAGAACTGAGCAGACACTCGACAACTTTGCCACTTTGCTACCTGAGACTCCAAATGAACACAGTAGATCCATTTTCCAAGTCTGGCTCATTAACAGACTCTACTATGATTTCTCATTCTCTATGGAAGCTCAAAAAATTGTCCAGAAAAGTCTCTACTGAAATGGTCACTTCCAGAAACCAGAGTGTTGGATGTCTAGGATGTTCACAAGTGAGGATCTTCTACCGGACTACGTTCTTGAATCTGGGCCATTGTATCACTTGACCATCTACAGTCATAATATAATGAACCAGGGTTAGTGCTTGCTGGAACTGGACCAAGTATCCTGACTTGCATCGGTTTTGGAATAAGACTCATCAAAAGGTAGTGATGAAGATGGAAACATTGGAGGCTGTTGGGCATTAGAGGTACCAGTGTCGCTAAACATGGAAACTCCAAGTTCAGAAGCCACGCTAGCCAGTAGATTCTGCCAACTTTCCTGACTATCAGCTGCTGCTGTCACTGGGGGACACATAGAACTCTGCTTTGTTGGCAGTGTAAAGTGTGATGATATATTTGCTTGCATCTGATATGCTGAGGCACCTGGTGATGTCACCAACGGATCCTCAGATCTCTGCTGTCCTACTTGAGGGCTTCGTGGTCTCTGTGATGTCCTCGTCGCATAAGTAGATTTCTGTAGCACACCCCTGGGAGTATGATTACTACTGGCAATGGTGTTGTGAGGTGGGTTATTCAAGCTAGTAAAGCTATATTGCATAGTCCTGGCCCTTTTAAATCTTGTATGAGAATTCATGAGTTGAGTGGTCAATGCACCAGCAACACGGCTATCTCTCTGTATATATTGTATACTAGGATTAAGTGGGTAGGATTTGGTTGGCCGCTGGCCATGTCTCTGGAAAGAGCAAGAGAGAATGGTAGGTTGATAATAGTTTCTCTGGTTGATTGCATTTGAATTTGAGATACTAGCGGCAGAGCAAGTCTGGAGTGAATTTGATCTGGAACCGGGAACCAATAGAGGATTTAGGTTTGAATAAGACAGTGGCACTGGATCTTGAAAAGGTGGAATCTTAGAAGTGGGGTTATCCGTGGGTTTCTGTGGAAACATAGACTCCAACTTAATTTGTTTGAAATATTGCCTCAGGTACTGCCACCTTTCTTCTTTATCAGTTGAATGACAATGGTCAGTACTTTTATCACCAATATCCCAGCAACTGCAAGGGGCTGGAGAGTCACAGACATAACAATGGCACTGCATTGCATAAGGCAGCATCAACCATTTGCTTGCATGAAAAAATAAGAGAACAAAATACCTAAGAAAACCAGTCTTTCAAGTTCTAGGAAAGCATGCAAAGAATCATTCAACCAATCAGATTATGGCCTTAGACGAAAAGAATACCAGTTTCTGAACTGAATGTATAGGACTCACCAAATCACAGAACTTTTCATGAGGTGATGAGCTGAAAGGAAAATGAGCACATAGGTGTCTTGGATGCGGGTAATCCCGGCAAGCAAACTGCATAAGCATATAAAAGTAGTTCAAAAGAAAATCAGAGTCACTAAAATCGAAAAACTGCAGCTTATGTTAACAACATTAAGTATCTCTTTTGAAGGTTAAGCAGTGAAGTAGCTGCACTTTCTAATATGTGAGTATTTGGACAATATAACCTCCAAAAACCTGCTATATATATGCAAATAGTAACTAAAATGCAGCATGTTCGAACCCTGAAAAATAACTCATATTCACTTCACAGTCCAATATGAGAATTTTTGGACAATATAAGTTACAAAACTTGTTATGGATATGCAAATAATAACTTAAACACAGCCAGTTTGAACTCTTAAAAATAGCTCATAATCTATAATATGAAATGGAAGAATAAAGGATGCCAAAATCATTTCTCTAAAGTTCCAAAATGTCAACATCCATTCTTGACCAAAATTTTTGCTATGATTTGCATGATTCATTTTCATGAAGTAATTTTGAAAACTGTAAACGAAACAGAGGACACGCTAATTACTACATGTTATGTATAGAATTACCATAGCGTTAACTGGAAGGGATATGGAGGGTATATATTAAGTAATATTGAATTTGTGGTGCTAAATGCCCTCGTCATTTAGTTGATAATACACTTTTAGAGGGTCAATTGCTGAACATATGACATAACAAGCAATTCTAGCACCAAGTTCTTAGTGCCTCGCTGTCTGCTTTAGTATATTCATTTGTGCTGACCATTAAAGTCAAAACAAGCATGTGGCAGGACTTGGTTGATTGGAACTTATTTTCTTAAAATGGGTCCCTGGAAAGCATAATGTTATTATGTCAGACTTTTTTCTCTTTTATTTGTATATACATATTTAAACCAAAAGAAGCCTCTTTTAGTTGTCAATCTTAACTCCCTTGATGTTAGTGAACCAATGAGCTAATAAGTGATGGAGAACAATTTAGCTTTACAAAGGATTTTAAAAATGTTTTATTCTAAGCAAAGAAATCAACAAAAAATCATCAATTAGTTGACCTAGAAATTCTAAGAGTTGTGTTGAAAATTGAAAAGTCTTTTGCGCTTCTAGGGATTCCTTTTGTATTAAGTGCACTCATTTACTATTTATGTATCCTATAAGTCACATTTTGGATTTCTAAAAGGCATACTAATTCCCTAGGAGATAACTCTTGGGAATTGTTCCCTTCATTGATCATGCTAAGGCTCCTAAACTCCTATAAATAGTAAATCTTGTCAATGGATGACTTACTTCAGTTTTGAATGAAGAGAATTGCATCATCTCTAGTCTCTTACTCTCCACTCTTATCTCACACTTCTCTTTCTTTCTCTTTCCTTCTCTTTCGCTCTACCTTCTTACTTTGTTCTACATCAGTTTGGTATCATAGCTCATCGAGAAACCTACCCTGTACCTCATTGGGCCCTAACTAGTAACTTCAATCAACAGTGACGTCACTCACGAAACCTTGCACCTCCAACATCAATCCCTTACGTATGGAGTTGGGCTTTGTGGTGACTATCCCTATGGAATTGGTGGACCACATAGCTCTCATTGTCCAGTAAATTTTTTAAAAAACTTTACTAATTTTTTTTGTTGGGAAGAAAATTAGTATATTCCATTAGATCATGGTTTTCATCGCTTCTCCCCTCATATTCTCCTTTTTTTTCTACCTATCAGACTCTCTATCCCCTTTAGTTACAACTACATTACCACAAAAATTTAAACCCTTGAAAGTTGTCTAAAAAAAAAAGTGTGGAAAAAAAAAAGAAAACCATTTGAAACATTGCATTTATATCTTGTGCATTACAACAATTAACAACCTCATTACCAAAAGGTAATTTGTCGATAGCATTAGAATCATGACACGACAAGGTGAAAACCAAATCAATCCTAGTGAATCCCTAAGCCAACAAAGTGAGGTAGACACTCTTAGAACTAAGCTAGCAAATCATGACACAATGTTGAACCAATTATGTGATCAAATGACCCAAGTCCTAAGAGCTCTCCAAAATCTTGAAAAATGACTCCTGAATGAGGAGGTTAGGCAACATGTCCATTCTCCATAATCTATAGCTTCAAATCAAGGAATTTTACCTACTCCCCAAGCCTCAGTTTGAACAATACTAGATCTACCTATAGGGCACCTATTCACAATCATGCTCCTACAATTCTTGATGATTAAGCCTTTAACCTTAATGATGAATTCCTAGAACCTACTGGAAATCCACAAACCAAAGTAATGGGTTAACAAGTTTGGTTTGCTAATAATCTGGGGGAAATAGTTAGAAGAGTCAAAGTGGATGTATCGAACTTTGATGGTAGGTTTGACCCAAATATGTTTGTTGACTGGTTAGATAGCATTGAAGACTACTTTGAGTGGTATGGAATGATTGATATTGAACCTATACCATTTGCAAAAGTAAAACTGATAGAGTCAACTAGGAAATATTAGTAACATATCCAACATAGTCTCTAACACCGTTGAGAGCCTCCCATCACTCAATGGGAAGTTATGAAACAAAAACTTAAGGGTAAATATTTACCAACCTACTTTCGAAGCCAATTGGTTGAACAATTGTTAAACCTTAAATAGTTGAATTCTAGTGTGACAAAGTATTTGACCCAATCACCAAGAGACTCTACTTACTGGACCCTAAATCTTTTGAAATAGAGAGCCTAGATAACAAATTTTGCATGTCCATCGTTGCTAGAGAAATTCTTAGCCCTTGTAATATTCTTAACCTAACTCTTAAGGTTAAATCCTTATTAGATGAATTTTCTGATGTCATACTCTTGGAATTACCTAGTGAGCTGCCACCTATCCAGCATGCCATTGACTTTCTCCCAGGATCACAACTCCCTAATCTCCCACATTATATAATGAATCCTAAGGAGAGAGTTGAGTTAAACAAACAAGTTGAGGAACTTTTGGCTAAAGGCTTTGCACGACATAGCCTTAATCCTTGCCTTGTAACCCATAAGAAAGATAGGTCGTGGAGGATGTGTGTGGATAGCCGAGCGATCAACAAAATAACAATCAAATATTGCTTTCTGATTCCTCGACTCGAGGAGATGCTAAACCTTTTCATTGGATCTAGTTGGTTTTCAAAAATTGACTTGAGAAGTGAATACCACCAAATTTGTATTAGACCTGGTGATGAATGGAAAACAACATTCAAAACAACTCATGGTCGTGACTTTATTTTGGTTGTTATTGATCGATTTTAAAAAATGGCTCACTTTATCCCATGTAACAAGACCAACGACGTCTTACACATTGCTGAATTGTTCTTTCGAGAAGTGATTAAATTACATGACTTACCCTTAACCATGATGTCCGATAGTGATGCGAAGTTTGATAATTACTTCTGGAAAACATTGTGGAAATTGTTTGGCATAACATTGTAGTTCTCTTCAGCTTTTCACCCCCAAATTGATGGTCAAACTGAGATAGTTAATCATTCCTTAAAAAATCTTCTTAGATGTTTAGTTGGGGAAAAACCCGAAAACTGGGACTTAACCTTGCCCACTACAAAATTTGCATATAATAACTTAGTCAACCGCTCCACCAGAGAAAACCCATTTCAAATTGTCCTCAACTATACTCTCGCAACCCCATTGACTTTGCACTCCTTCCACTTAACTATCATGCCTCAAAACCAACCCATTCCTTTGCTCAACATATTCATGATTTGCATGTCAAGATTCGACGAAAAATGCCCTGAGTAATGAAAGTTACAAATTTGCTACTAATGCATATCATAGAAGTCAAAGAGTTTCAAGTTAGCAATTATACCTTGGTTCATATTCGCCCTAATCATGATACTTTTGAGCCTTCTCTGTCTACCGGTATTCCTACAGGTGATAATCCTCCGAAAGCATCGATTCTCCCATAACACAAGGATGGCATAGAGGTTATTCTTGATGACCATCTTGTTACGTCTGTTACTAGCATTACTCAACACAAGTGGCATGATCGTTTAGTTTCCGATGCCACTTGGATTACTTTCAAGGAACTTTATGACTTTGCACAAGATTTAGTGGACCAATACCTTGCTAATCACTCTCCAGGGTCAAATTATTTTCTATCGAGAAAGAATAATGGAGAACCATCTAGTTTTACAAAGGATTTAAAAAAAAGTTTATTCTAGACAATAAATTCAACAAAAAATCATTAATTAGTTGGCATAGAAATTCTAAGAGTTATGTTGAAAATTGAAAAGCCTTTTGTATTAAGTACACTTGTTTACTATTTAGGTATCCTAAAAGTCACGTTTTGAATTTCTAAAAGACATACTAATTCTCTAAGAGATTACTCTTAAGAATTATGGCCTTCATTGATTATATTAAGGCTCCTAAACCCCTATAAATAGTGGAGCTTGTCAATGAATAACTTACTTAATATTTGAATGCAATTTTCTCTGGTCTCTTATTCTCCTCTCTTATCTCACACTTCTCTTACTTTCTCTTCCCTTCTCTTTCTTTCTACTTATCTACTCTGTTCTACATTAACTATACAAGATCCAAAGGCTTTTTACATTAACTATACAAGAAATAATTTAAATACAACCATTATTTTGTTGCATATAAGAATAGATTTTACCTTATCCTTTGCGTGCATAATTGCATATAACTTTAAGTTTGATTAACAACCAAATCTGGATGTACTAAATAAATTAAAAAATGATTTTATAAAAAATTCAACGTTGTTATTCTTAACCTCAAAGCAGAAAAGTTAGATATGCATGACATGCCAAATCCCAGAAAAGAATATGTTCATGGATCTCATATTATTTTCTTCATAATATTTCCAACCCATATTGGTGGACATAACCTAAAAAAATACAGTTTATATATCAGATAATCAGATAGCATCATAAATGGATCCGATCAGGGTTGATGAACATCTGAACTGACTGTAACGTTAGACTAAATCAGATCATGAATCAAATAAAAAATTGCAATTATAGGATGAAACTTTTGGACTCAATAGACAGGCCTAGGTCAAGTTGAATTCTGGAGAGGTCGAAAAAATACAAATGGGACCTACTCAAACCAAACCCAGCAGCTCAAGTTTCTTGAACTTAGAATCAACTCATACAAGGGGTCAGGCTAGTTCAGGTTAAAACAAATAGGGTTTAGAAAGAAAGCAGGTTGAGATTGTTTTCACAATACCTATATGAACATAATATAACTAAAAAAATATCTTGTTCTCCACCTGAGCCATATATAAATGAAATCCTTTTTTCGTTTTCATATTAATAATTATATACATTTACATATACATATATAGCACATGTATGAATTATATAAGATTCTATTCTTGTACACATGGTGGTACTAGGCTAGACTCCCTGACGTTTAGTTACAGCTTAAGTATTAACCCAGGCACTGAAGCAAACATTTGTTAAAACAATAAAAAGGATAAGTAGTGTGCATGGATAATTAAAAATGTTAATCATATTCCTCAAAAAGCAAAATATACTTATGAAAACAATTGAATCATCTTTCACCTAGCAACAAATTCTCCAACTTATCCATGATATTTAAATGTATGTTGTCTACCAGTTCTAGAAATAATTATGGAACTTACTTTCCTTTCTTTTTGACATTATTGTCAATGAAAAATGCTTAAATAGTAGATTGCAACCATAATTTATAAAACAGCAAAAAACCTTTTTTACAATTTTCTTTAAGGAAGCACAAAAGAATCCTAATAATCAAACAAACAAAGTGATTGTGAGATCCGTCAATGAACCAACAAATTCCCATACAAGCTTTCTGAAATTGAAGAAAAGTGAAACCCTTAAGTTCAAGGGAAAAAGTGGTAACACAGATAAAAATTATCACTTTGACAGAAGTCCGCATTTTTATTTATTTGGTCCATAAGTGTAAATTCAAACAAAAAGGACTGGTTTGAAAAGCTCAAGACTTTTCCCATTGATGTATTCATAAAGCCCAACTCATAAGTGAAATGCTTCAAGAAAGGCTTTTAAGACTATCAGCTATATACACTAAACATTGTCATACCAACAAATTATGCAAAAATAGTGACAATAGAGCAGAACATGTATTGAGCTAAAACATGCAATTATAATAAGAACTCAAATGCCAAATAAGATTGCTATATTTATATAGCAGACAGCATGGCATAGTAGTGTAACCAGAAGTGTGCCTTAGGCAATTACCTCGCCAGTTTCGTCAAAATGATCAATGCCTAAATGCATGCCTTTATAATGTTAATATGCTTTCATTAAGCACTACAAACAATTGGGTTTCACAAATTATTTCAGTTACCTTTCTGTTCTCGCTTTCTTTATTTGAAGTTTTGCTTTCCTCCATTAATCTGTTTTTCTATTTCTTTCACCACCTATGTTACTATATTTCACAAATAATGCATTTTGGTTAAGAATGTATCATCACAAAAAAGGAAAAAAAATTATGTTTCTTTCTTAAGTACCAGCAATATGTACTTGGAAAAATCACAGATTATTTTGCAAGCCATAAGGACATGCTTGAACAAATTAGACCCACTCTTTCTTTTGCATTAAAGATAAAGAATAAAGATAATTATCAGATACATAATAAATGAAAGGCATTTTTGTAGCATCTGATGTGGACATATCTTTATTATTATAATACTCATGGGCTAAGTGAAACCTATGCCGACATAGTAGGCAGTGATTTAAAAAGGCGCTCGGGCGCTCTCGTTGCTGCTGTCTCAGACATATTCTTTTGCCGTCGACGCTCTCGCTGTCGTTGCTGCTGTCACCGCTCTCGCTACCGCTGCTCACTGCTACCGCTGCCGCTCCCACTGTCGCCGCTCCCGCTCCCGCTGCCGTTGCTATCGTTGCCACTGTCTCCGCTCACCGTTCTCGCTCCTGCTGCTCGTTGCTGCCGGTGCCACTGTCGCCGCTTGCCGCTCCCGCTGTCGCTGCTGCAGCTACCGCTACCACTCCCGCTCTTCTCAGTCAACACCCTCGGTCTTCCGACTCTTCCCTTACACTCTTTTCCTCTTTCGATAGTATACTGTTAATAATATACAGTATACAGTATATTGTACACTATTAACTGTATACTAGTAATAGTATTTGTATTTATTAGATTAATTTAATGACATATTTTTATTTAAAATTTTTTAAAAATTATATTTATTAATTATATTATATATTTTTATATTTTAGCGTCTTACTTCGCTCGGGCGAGCACCAAGTGCCTCGGGCGTTTTTGAACCTTGACGCTTTTAGGCGTCTAGCGCTTTTTAAATCACTGATAGTAGGAAATCTCAACTGTTTGTTTGTGAAGACTAATAACAAAGAAGGTAATATAGGAAACATATTCCATCATTTAATCTTTGGTATAGTAATTGCAAACAGGAAAAAGATGAAATTAGCTCTTTCTGTGTTAACCTTTAGTACGTTTCTTTAATTATATGTTCCCTATTTCACATTTCGAACAGTATGAATTCAAATTTGATCACGTGCATTGATATGCCAAATGCTAGCCATAGATGTTGTTCAAAGGAGACAACAAATAGCTTGTAGGTTAGCTCATTGGATCCACAATCAAGCTCAATCTAAAACATTCTGTTGGCAGTAACCAATACTGGTTTGCTGTAAACATATGACAAAAGCCACTAAAAAGGCATTCAGATGTTTAGTATCCAACAGATTTTCAGTGAAATTTTGCATGGACAGTGTAGAAGTCATTTAAGGTCTGAATATCTCAGGGGAGACCCATGATAGGATCATATCATGTTTACATAAGACAAGACAAACATGTACTAGTTGCAAACACCAACATCATGCGACACAAATTTTCAATATACTATATCTGTTCATGTGATGCATATGGAGAAAGATGTAGTCCCAGAAGAAAATGAGAGGCATTCGTTAGTGAGTGCATCTGAAAAGGGAAAAACAAGTTGTAAATTATAAAACCTTTTGACGAACCATCTAGATTACTCCTCAGGACGACATTATCCTCGTGCACAGTCCTCATTCATGGTGTTTATACTAAGAGGTCAAGCTCAATGAAGGCAAGAAATAAAGCATGTAAAATAATCGCAAAAGAGAGCCAAAATCAAAAGGACGTGCTTATTTTTCACAAAAAATTCTATATACTCTATGATAGTAACATGCAAGTCAATTTTTCAAGCTCCATATGCTGTCTCTTCCAAATGGATATCCAGATCATTCATGCATCAAAAAACACAGTCATGATACAATGGCTTGCAAATTCCTTTCTGCAGACTATAAAGCAACAAACCAGGGCCAGATGGAAGAAACTTCTCAAAGTGCAAATACGGATTGGTTTACCACTTCAATATAATGCAAAAAGTAACAAGTGAAAGGACACCCCATTTTTATGCAATCCTTTGAGGAGCCAAAATTTGAGATATGCATATATTGCACAAAGCATTAAGTTGGTTTATTTCAAAGATATCGAAGTGCCAAGTTAAAACTATATTTTTATGTAATCCTTCGAGGAGCCAAAATTTGAGATATGCATATATTTCACAAACCATTAAGTCGGTCTTCCTCCTAAGAAATTTTTAAGGTCAGGTTAAAATAGGCAAGAAGCAACATGAAGCTTTACGTTCTAGCAGCTCTGTCCAAAACAGACAAAGCTGGTGCTTAACCTAGTGGGGAGTTCTCTGCCATATTAACATGCACGAGGCTCTCAATTATAAACAAGAAGGCATGCAAGCTGCAAATGACATCAAGAAAAGTAAATAGCCAAATTTCTTTTCAATCAGGAACAAATAACACCAAGAGACATCTAAGTAAGAAGGCAAGACATCTACAGAATGAGACATAATAACACAAACTAAAGCATATACACCACCACATTTTTCACAAGGTCCTCACCTGCCCCTTCTCGGCGACGATGAGCAGGTCATCGCCCCTATCCCCAATTTCGCCGCCATTATCATCAACCACCGAGACCGGCTTATCCGGGTCAGAGTCCAACACTACGCAGTCGTCATCGTCAAAGCCACCGCCCTTGTCCGGAGCCAACAAACCCGAGTCCTTCTTACGCCTCTTCGCGGCAGAGGCCGAGAACTCGTCCACGATCACGACGTCATCGGATTCCTCCTGTCGCCGCACGTCCGACCGATCGAGCACCTCGAACGAATTGAAAGAGAGGCCATCAGACGCGTCCAGGCCGAGATCCTCCTCATCGGAGCTAATATCGACCACGACGGCGTGATCGGGGCCCATGAATCCCGACGCTTCGACGACTTAGATTCCCAAAGAAAAGGTTTTCCGGGCTGGATTCCAACAACAATGGTTTGGTGCATCTCAGGGACCAAAACCAATTCTTAGACGATCAAAGTCCGTCTAGAATTAAATAGAATAAATAGCAGCAACAGGAAAGAGAGAGTAAGATGATGTAAAGAGTCCAGACAGTGAAGCGGAGATATTGGAGATGGTATGCTATGGAGGAGTACAATAAATTGAGAGAGGCACCGGAGAGCGAGTGGAGAGGGAGAGAAGAGTCTGGCGGGTGGGTGGGGTTGATTATTCTGCCGCTTTGGAAACCCTGATTCGGATCTTTTCCAGGCGTCGGGAGAACACGGCGGAAGCGCTCTCCTAATCCTAAGGCCATTGGGCTGCTCATTGAATGTCTCTCTGTTTCAAAATTATACTGAAATATAGTAATAAATAAAAATATATATTAATATTTGTTTCAACCGAATTCTTCCTTAAATATTCTATTCTGTTTTTGATCAACCAGGTCATACCAGAATTATGGACGGCGTCGACAGCACGGCGCAAGCACTCTCGTAATCCAAAGGCCATTGGGCTGCTCATTGAACGTTTACTTTTTATGTTTATTAATATGATATTATTTGTTAAATATTGCATATAACCCCCCATAGTTAATCATGAATAATAGTATTCTAGTTCTTATATTTTTAAAAAATAATATTGAGGTCCCTAGATTTATGGGAACTACTCCTGTGGTACAGGCCTAAGCTCCGTTAAGTTATCATAAGACTCGCATGAGGATGCAAATCCAATATATTTCAGTAATATTACCATCAAATCAGTTTTGAGAATCAACACTCATGCTACCCCCAATATTCAAAGCAGGTAATTGAATTGTCAAAAGGAAAATTGGCACCCTAAACACTGGACATGCAGTTGGCAGGCCGGAGAAATTTCAGAGGAAACCTCAAACATTTCAACTTCTACAAACATTGGTTCATTAAAGAAATTTAGAATCTGAAGAAACACTCTTTTTGCTAGAATATCATCAGATGTGGCATCTTGACCAAAGAGGCTTTATACTAGCTGGAATGATCAAAATCTTCTCTTAGGATAACAGTAGATTCCAGACCACATATTTAGATTTTCCCAAGTGAAAATGACTATTACCTTGTCTATATCAATGCCCTCATTTGGATCTCCAGGTTGGAAAAAAAAAATCCACAAGCAGGCTGATTGTAGAACTGAATGTGTGGGAACAAGGCAGGAAAAGAGTCGGAAACACTCTGAGATCTAGCACAGCCCACCTGTCACCAATATCATCATTGCATAACATGAACCTGATCAGCCCTTCATCATTTATAAGCATTGGTGTATCTTGAAAGAAGAAACATGAATATCATAATCTGAAATGATAACAGCCAAGGAAACAAACAGGTCGTAACCCAGCTTGCTAAGCATCAGTTGTCCCAAATGATCAGCTACATTAATAGTAGCTTCCATAATATGGTTGAGCAGATGGTGCTGGTTGGGAAGGAAATGCTGGTGCTACTGGAGTTTCTGCTGGCTGGGCATAACTTGGTTGTGGATAAGCCTGCACAACCAACAATCAGATTAAGTTAGTGCCAGAACAAAAAAGACAAGATTACTACCAATAGGACCAATAACATCCCCATAACACAAGGCAACAAAGATGTAAAATGGGCACCGGATTCATGCTAGCTTGACAACCAGGCCCTAGAGGAATATGTGAACAAAGACCAAGCAAAAGTAGCATACAAGTTATCACAGAGTGTCACCAACAACTAATTGTGCTAAAAGCATTTGACCAGCTTAAAAAGAAAGCAATATTAAGGACAACCGACAACATGGCACACAGATGACACAACGCAAATAAACAGACACAACATGAACTAAAATTAAACATGACGCAACATTAATACCATAGTTAATATATGTCTTTATATATTATTCTAATTTTATACTTTACACAAGAAAGATGATCTATGATTATCATATATGTCACTTATAAGAAGCACAAAAACCATTCATATGACAGGCAAACATTCAAAAGAACTTCACAGGAATCTGACATAGACATGACAAAAACACAGTAAACATTCTAAAGTGTCAAACTTCATAGCGACAATGCATAATGATTCATGTAAGTATGTTAATTAGCATATAATGTTGCACAACCTTTCCAAAGCACATTCTTCCCAACAATGAAAGAACACTGGTTATTTGCTTCTAATTCTTTCATTGCTTACTAATATAGATGGAAAAAGGATTGATAGAGTACAAGAGATCTAAAGAAATGAAGACATCATCAACTTGCTAATGCACAATTGTAAAATCTCAAATCCAGCTAAAGAAAAAGTGGTTTGCTTGCAATGAGAATGATTATTAATGTGATGTAGATATCGTTTCCATGGATAAATAATCTTTAATGCTTGGACTGTTGCACAAGAAAATGGGAAACAATTTCCCATATAGTTGTATTTTCAGAACTGGAAAGTTAGAAGCAGCTCAATTTTGGGGATAGACTAGAATTTCAGATAGAAAGATTAACAGAAGCCTTTAACTTTTCTTCGGTGAAAAGACACAAAACTTTTCCGAGAACTCTAGTAACTTATACGGCCTGCTACTGGTTACTTTAGCAGGTAACTTGTACCAATCAGTCATTGGACCAATAAATACCAATTCATACCAACCAATATAACCAATTTTTAATATCTCTGTTGAAACTATCACCCAACTTAATCACTGATCATAAACTTTACAAGTCCACCTAATTGACCTTGTAACAAAAATCACGAGTGACAGCAACAAATAATTAATAAATTTATTTTCTATGATATTACTAAAATATCCATTGTGTGGGATGCTCATCATAAGTACATAAATTCTAAATCTTGTCACCTACAGATGTACAATAAGATATATGTTGTGTAACATATGATGTGAAACATGTACATAAATTAACTTGATTACAGAGTCAAATAGGGTTTGCCGTACCGAACTGTACCGCCCGGTACGGGTGGTACATACCGGTCCAACAGATTGTCGGTACGCGGACCGTTTGTTACCGGTCCGAGTGCACTGTAGCACTGTAGCAGTGCTACAGTACTCAGCACACGTGGGTGTACCGCTCGGTATACCGTACCGTACCGGTACCGAGCCTAGGTCGAAATACCGGTACGATACGGTATTGCGAACCTTGGAGTCAATTACTCTTAAACAAGCCACAAACATAAATTTGCATGAAATCCAAATTAACAAACAGGAGTAATAAAAAGGCACCATCTGCAAGTGGTTAGAACCAGCTCTTCTGTTAAACAAAAATGTAAAATTTGAGGAGACACTTAACAGCACATGCTCCAGTTGAGGCATGTAGTTCTTAATTGGACGAGAGGCTAAAACAGCATATTCATTTCATTTGTGCCATGTGACCTTTACAACCATGACTATGTGGCCATCTGCATCTTGCATTTTATCTGATCTGATTTACAGCATCAATTTACATAATTGGCTAAACTAGAAAAACAAATCTTCTACCTGAAAAGCCTTAATTGAATTTAAATTTACCCAGAACAGACAATATGAAACAATTATATCTTAAAGCTAATATATTATGAAAATCGCATATTTGGCATAAGCAAAGGATTACATAAACTAGAACCAATCAGAAACATATTTGACAAACAGAAGTAATAAGTTAAGATAACAACAAAAGAATCATATAACCTGAGCAACTTTTTCTGTTTCTTCAATAAGTGCTGTCCAAGCATTGAAATCTAAGAAATTTGCTCTAACCATGTTCCACAACCTATCTTCTACACCACTATAAAAAAAGAGAAAGGATTAATAAAACTATATTAGAAACAACAATATAGAAATTAGAGAATAGGAAAAAGTGGAAAAAAAAAATTCTAAAAATTATATTTCTAAGAGAATGAATATTAAATAATCAAAAGGGTAAAATCTCAGTAACATCATCATATGCTTGCTCAACAACGGCTCCACCTGTCTCATTAGACACTTCCATTCATGACAGCCCCAGTAGATTGATAATTTGTCATTTCGCTGGTGCTTCTGTCAATGGAATCATAACCAGCCATGTTCTGCGAGATACTAGCCATGTTTTCATCAGTAACAACACCTTCACTATGCCCAGCAGTAGCAGCATCAGCTTTGGCTTCATAAACCACACTAGTTGTAGCATCTTGTGAGATTGAATTTCGATCGTAAGTGTAGGCATTCCCATCATTGGTACCAGAACCATCTACCAAAGCATGAGCTGTAACAGCAGATGATCCAGAATGAACAGGGTCTCCACCACTCAGAACACTTTCTGTATTCAAGAGGAACATGTTCTGAAGAAGTATATTCTGTACCAGTGGATTCTTGGTGGAATTTAGGTTGACTACCTTCCATCTTGCACCAACAACTAGCCTACGTAGCTAAAGACAAGTAAGCTACACATGGATGCACACACGTGAAGAATAAAATCTAAATATTAGATCTTGTCGAACATAAATTAAAAGGCATTTAATCAACTTAATCCGTGACCTCTATAGAAAAACATCCAGATCAAGCAATAACCCCATGGACAAACAATGCATCAAGACTTAAGTTGTGCATGAGTAAGCCTAACATAAAAGCACCCTCGAAAATGAAATAATATGACAATACTTCGGCAGAATATCATATGTCCTGTTAAAATTGGTAAAGCATTCAATGCTACGGCTATGTTAGAATCAAATTCTACCAATTGCTCAAACTTACAATCCTTTGGATCAAATGCAACAATGCAAGAAACCAAGATTGCATACGGTGACATAACAAAACCTTGCAATCTGGATCAGTTACCTACTTGAGGTGTTTCTAGACAATTAACAGAACGACTAGAGTCAAAAAAGAGTAACAACAAGAATGTTCTATTGATCTTGAAAAGGCACTCTCCGAGAATGGATTCTTCATGTCATAGATTCTGTGGATTTTTCAGAATCCAAACCAACATTCCCAACTATTCAGACTTGCACAACGATATATTAAAGAATCACAAGTTCAGCCCCCATCAAAAGAAAAAAATGAAGCAAAAATCTTAATAAGATAAATCCTAAATCTAACATGTAATTCCGAGCTTAAAATAAGGCATTCAAATGGGAACTCATCCAGAAGACAAGACCCTAATTCTAACCTAGCAAAGAATAATCAATGAAGATAGTACCTACTTGAGGTGGTTCCAGACAATTAACAGAACAACTGAAGTCAAAAAAGAGTAACACCAAGAATGTTCTATTGATCTTGAAAAGGCACTCTCCGAGAATGGATTCTTCATGTCATAGATTCTATGGATTTTTCAGAATCCAAACCAACATTCCCAACTATTCAGACTTGCACAACGATATATTAAAGAATCACAAGTT